GCGCCCGAGGAATCGCATCGGAACAGTGTAAGCGTTCAAGCAAACCACTTCTGAAGATGCAAGCCACTCGTGCTTGCGAAACGTCAAGAGGACATTCTACCGAACGAAAAATCAATTAGTTTCACATTATTTCAGTTGCCTCAGTTAAAATGAACTCTGTTTCAGACATCAAGCGGCTCCATGCAGATAGAGCCCAACGAATCCAACCACATGATCGTTGAGACGCTGACTGAAAAGGACAGGTGGGCACTTTTAGGATAAGGACGCAGGCGAACTGATTAAGCATTGTGCTTTCATCTAGGAAAGAGAGCGAATTAACTTATGAAGACTTGGCTCTGCTCTGTGATTTGTTTTATTTGCCATTTGAGCATGGCGCGCAGGGCTTGCAGCTGTTGCAAGAGTTCCAGTGGTTAAAGTCCAATGCTCACATTGTGATATCGGCCAATCAGAGAAAGGATCATTCAAATCCCGAAGTAAAGCGACTCTAATTGTCGACCACGCAAAATAATCTCTGTGCCACTTTCAGCTGGAGGAATGGTTTGCAAGGGCGGAAAAAATGAACGAAATGAGCGAGGCTGTAAATCGGCTCTTACTGCACATGACTGCCTGTAACAATCGGGAATTGCTCTACGACCTCTACTCCTATATTTGGGATATTCGCGGAGTTATTTCGCTGCTCAATTCGTACATCAAGTGGCTGGGTAAGAATTTCAATGTTGATGTTCTGGTGTAAAAAAAGTATTTTGGTTGCAGAGTAAACCTGTTATTTTTTACTGTGTTTCAAATACCGAAAGCGTTACTTTAAGTGATTTTTAGCGTCATAATTGCGTCAGTCTACCTTTAGTTCATTCGGGTGGCAAAATCTTGGCGCACTGCGTAAAATTCTACATATACACGGCGTCCAAGATGCGAAAAGGCGGTAGCCCAAATTCGTTACAACGGTTTTAAAGCGCTATTTGATTGCGTAACGCTGCTGCGGAACATTTACAGTTTTCGATCTCGCTACTGACCCTCCCCATCTTGGATATTGTGTATTTGTCCCATTAATCTGATGAAGATGGAGCGTTGAGAGCACTTTGATTTCCTAAAATGCGCCGCCAAGACAACTCAAACTCAAAAGAAAAGCTTCTCAACTCTCCCATCTTTTATTGTACATACTTTTCTAGGGATTTTTCCTTATTACTGGACTGATTATTCCTGTTTGTTTCTTTCCTGAAGCCAATGGCCATTTTCCTTCGTCGATGCCGTCGTACACCCAGGGGACCTATACATGTATGCATCGCCCAATTAGTATATGCAGCCGGCCGAATAGAGGATCTTGTTTATGCGTAAAATATTTGCTTTTTTTGCGTAAACTAGCGGCGTTATGCGTAAATGGTCCTGCTGTAGTTGAAATGGACATCTTGGCGAATGCGCAAAGCGCGGGCATGAACTCGTAAAGATGTCCATTTGTGGGCAGCTTCTTGATATGCACGCGTAGGGCTTTTGCTTTGGAAGCAGCGTAAAAGTACTGGACGATTTTGCGAAAAGATCCGTCCAGGCAACGGAAGAACTTAACGCATTATCAGAATATGAAGGCTTTCACGGCTGGTTAAATCACATTTAGGAATGTTTTCCTGGCTTTGAAGCCGTGGTCTATGGGAATTTCTTCCTGACGTTTCGTCCACAACTGCGCTGGACATTTTCAAAGGCGACGAGGCAGTGGGCGAACTGATCTCCCGTGCTTTCCGTTTTAGTCGGAAAGCACCGGAGATCACTTCACATTTCGAAATGTTTTTCGGGCTTTGAAGCCGTGGTCCATGGGAATTTCTTCCT